GTGTGTGTGTGTGTGTGTGTATGTGTGTGTGTGTGTGTGTTGTACGTGGTGCCCGTGTGTTTTACTAATCGAAAGGTGTAATAACACCGAGACTGAGCTGTATTACTGGCTTAATGCCAATTCACGCCGAGGCCCTGGCGAGCCAGAGAGAGAGATGGTGGCTTCTTTTCACCGATTATGAACGCGCATACTAGTAAATCACAGACACCAACCGATTCCGCGCTGGAATTCGTGGAATTCGGAGTAAAGAGTGGTAGAGTGAGAGAGCAGGCTGGGTGTGATTTATCCAAACCATTCAGAAGGTCAATTGTACCCTGTGCCAAAAAAGTATGCGCTATATTGGAATGTAATTAATTAGTTATTAGTTGATTGTTACTACTACTTACGGAAGGGGAGGCATTTTGGGCGTAGAGGTCAGGATATTGGGGGAAAGTTAGCTCATTAGTAAGTGGAACAATTTCATATTGTTGATTCGTCACTCAAGCTACATCCTTTTTTTCTTTAATTGTCAAGTGATTCAAAAAATTAAGAGAGCTATAGCATCTTAGTTTAGAATACAGCTTGTCCCATTGCTATGGGTTTCGAAATGCCCAATTAAACCATCATTTCGCTAGGCTTATTAAGAAGTAAATTCATGCAGAAAGAAACTTAGGGTAATGATGTTAACACCACTGTGGTATGCTTTGTTCTCTTGTCCATTATTTACTCCAATTTTTATTATTGCCAGTAACCATGACAACACACGAATATCGTATAATTTTTAATTATAAATAACATATAAAAACTGTCTATGTTGGGCTGAATGGGTTTAAAAGATATAAAGAGAAAGCAATGTGATATTCTCTTTCTCGCACGTGTGCAATTAAACTTGCAATATTTCTGTGATTTGTAGCGAACTTCTACGCTAATAAAGCCTTGATTAACTCAGAAATAGTTAGCCAGAAAGACTATCGCGATGGTGAGGAGAAGGAAGACGTATTGCAATCGAAATGCTTAATTCCAACTATGGTGATGGTAAACATGATTAGCTAACAAAGAAATCTAGCATAACTTGAGTGGACACTAGTAGCAAAATATCTGAGCGATGCTCTGTACGTACGTCCGCACATTCCAAAACGTTCGGGTGAACATTTTATCGTGCTGGGATTGTGTACGCCACAGTTCTAAAGATCAAGTTCAGTGATTTACACTCCACTCAGATCCTATTGGCTAGCTAATTTAATTGAATCAATGACGCACAACTTTACTATAGTTTTTATTTTTTCAAGCCAAAGAACAAGACAAGCGGCTAATATAGTAATTTGTAGAGTTATTTACTGAAAATGCTTTTGTAATGCAGTCTCTAATCACACAGTCTAACCGCACTCCTTCGTCTCTTCTTTGTGTTGGGTTGTTTAAGCTGATTGGTATTTATTTCCGCAACTCGCAAGTTTCACCTAGGTGTTCGAACAATTCAAACCTTTTTCTGTGTTAAATAGCGACCATTTCTGGTCACGAATATCATCTCATTTACAGTCCTCTTAAGGACTACATTCCCCTCCCAAGAGGTGTTCGATAGACTTGCCTCCACATGGTGCACCCTGGACAACGTATACCTATACTGCAAAAAGTTTTTCAATCCGTCAGTTGACTTCTAATTACAATGTTCCGACTGGATGCCATATTCGACCACTTTCACAGTACTCACCACACCTTAACTTTTTCTCTACCTTTGTATTTGTCTCGTATGCCTCTGTGAATCACTCATCTGTTCCTCCTCTCCACTTTTTGTGACTTTGATGTTACTCTCCTCTGTGAAGCCCGAAGTCAACTAAAGGGCTAATGATAAGTATCAAAACGCCTGCCATTTGAAATAAATAAATAGATTCTTGATTGTAAAGTCTGTCTTTTGATATGAATGACTTTTTCTTTCCAAATATCACTTGGCTTTGCTATTTTAAGGAGAGATTATGCCTGCGGTACTCTTATTCCCCCCCCCCCCCAACCAATCAATCCCACTTTCAATCTTGAGTGGATTGAAGTCTGAAAAGAATTGAAAATGTCCCCATCATCATCTTACCATCTGAACTAATAATTTCAATGCTTTCCAATGTCATTATCTCCTTGCTTTTTTTAGCCAGTGAAATTCAAGCCTATGATATTTATCTTTTGGACACAAGCGATGCATGTTAGTGTATACCGTAAACAAAATGGTGTTGTTTCAGGTGATTAGTTGCCAAGTTGCCAAGTGTGACATCATGGTGACATGCAGTTGACTTGTCTGTTGTCAGTCTAATGAAGGAAAAATAATCAACAGCAGAGCAAATTAGATATGCCCTTTTCCTTTTGGGAAAGCAACCTGCAATTTGAATAGAGATAAGACAGAAAGCTATCACTAGAAAAGCATTTCAGTATAGGAAACAAAAAATTTGTATAAGTATATATTAATTAATTTATTTATTTATATCAAATGGCAGGCGTTATGATAGTTATCGTTAGCCCTTTAATTGACTTCAGGCTTCACAGAGGGGATGGAACATCAAAGTGAAAAAATTTGAGAGGGGGAGGGGAAGAGAAGAGTGTTTCAAAGATGTAAAAGAGACAGACACAAAGTTAGAAAAAAGGTGAGGGAGTACTATGGAAGTAGACAAATATGACATATAATGGGGTGATGGTAATTTGAAGTGGAGGTAAATCTATCGCGCACCCCGTAAATATTAATATTAATATCACTGGTATTATTAACTTTAAACTATGCAATATTGCAATATTTGATCGTGGAAATTAACTGAAATCTGTCGACAGAGAGGTTAAAGGAAGAAGACGATACGGAAAGCAAATCCAGGGTATGAGATAGGCCTAATTCGCAAGAATTATTTCACTCGGCTTGGATACTATTTACTAAGCTGGCTCCAAATGTGGCCACTATAGAAAAAAAGAGAGCATGAATCTGCATGAGGAAATAACTTAAGAAATGAACATTTGCCATCTCAAATATTGAAAAAATTATAGCGCAAAGTGGCGAGATAGACCCTTACCGATTCAATAAGGCCTTTGCGTCGAAGGAGACATTTGCTGAAGTCCAGGTGAGTAAAAATGAACCACCCATAATGCACAACTAGAGCCTAAAACTCTCTCCGGATCATGTTGATTCCCATTCCCTATTAGAAGTCGGATTTCATGTGTATTCAAAACCAGTAAAATCTTTTTGTATTACAGTGGGTACTGAGATTGTTTTGCCTAGCCATAAACGACAGTAAAAAGAAGAAGATGATGATGATGAAAAATGGCAGGTTCGGAATGCTTATTTGGCAACTCACTTCGGAGATGCCACTGCTATGACATAAACACCAGATTGGCGCCAAAAAATCGATTTTCCACTTTGGCGTAATTCCAAATGTGCAAACAATCTGTATATCTGGTATGTGAAATAGACACTTCAGTACTTAAAGAACGAGATTCATCCTTGAAATTCAGCTGGACTACAACTTAAAAATAGATTTTATTGGCTAATGAAATCGTTCCAAGCCAAATCACCAAATTTCTCTTAGTGTGATCCAATCTATCTTAGAGGTGAACTTTACACCCACGTCTTAGGTTGAAAGCACGGTTGCATTTAAATCTAATTTTGACCCATGACCTTCAATTCTTTCTGCTCCTTTGCCCTGTTTCTCCTCTTTTCAGGACCTCACTAGTGCATGCATATGGCATGAAGCCGCATCTAGCAATAGATAATGTGAAATGTCCTTAAATTTCAGTTACTCTGACGCACACAATACTGAATAAGCTTTATCGATTTTCGATATTTATTAGCCTAAATGGAAATGTTCTCATTAAATGAAAGTGCTTTCGTATTTATATTGATTTTCTACTAGTCGTTCTTTTCCCACCATTTTAAATCATTGAAGTAATGATATATATTAAGCATAGACCTGTGAAAATATGGGCATTTTTTCTTAATTTCATGCGATCTCGCAACTATGACCTTTCGGTTTCACATTCCATCCAATTCCCAGTTCGATTCAATTTTAATAACTGTTTATGTAAATAAATGAAATCTTCGCACTACTTTTACCTTTAACAGGTGCTAGGCTGTTAAACACTGCCTTCTGAATGTCATTTATTTTTTAGTTACTATTTACCTTAGTAAATGAATAAATTTAGGAACTCATATATTTGTTCATATATTTAAGTAAGAACCTTGTAAAAAACAACGACTTATAGACATAGGCCAAAAATGGTAAAACGGCAAAAATACAATATCAATTAAAAGGTTATGGATTCCGAATTTAACAGAGCAGTAGAATAAATGGAGATTCAAATGCCGACAGTCTAGGTCATTGCCTGAAGGAATATTGAAACATTCCTATTTTGAGGAATGTAACTTACGATATAGATGATATAGGCTTATTCGAATTACAAAACGAAATGCATTCAAAAAAGGTACCAACTATGTTCGGTGGTAAGAGGTATTTCTAAAAATTAATCCTAAAAATTTCAGCTACACAAAACTCTTCCCATTTCCAAACATCTCCGAAGTCAATTCCTGATCTTCAATCAAAGTAATCTGCAAAACTGTAATTGAGAAGACCTTTAGGAAACAAACGAGATGTTTATCCGTCTATTATTTAACAACCTTAAATTAGATCGTTCTGATGAGAAAAAAACATTTGTAAGTTGATTGTGACGTTTACAGTTGTCGCGATGCAAGGTATCGATTAACTATTTACATCCTCCTCTTTCGCGGTAATTCAATTGCTTCCTGTTCAATTAGACACACGGTCATTACAGGACACGTGCAGCCAATCACATTCAGGCAAGTTGTATATACTCTGAGCGAGGTCAAATGGGATTCGAAATTGCATATGTGATTGGATGAATGCCTTGAAGCCTCCACTCCTGTGTCTTGAACTTTACTCTGCTAGTTAGCAAGTTTCAATGTCCTCTTAAATTTAAACATTTATTTATTTATATCAAATGGCAGGCGTCTAGATGGTTATCATTAGCCCTTTAGTTGACTTCAGGCTTCACAGAGAGGAAGGAACATCAAATTGAAAAAAATCGAGAGGGGGGGGGGGAACAGAAGAGTGCTTCAAAGATGTAAGAGACAAACACAAAGGTAGAACAAAGGTGAGGTGAGTACTGTGGAAATAGTCGAATATGGCATAGAGTGAGGTAACGGTAGTTTGAAGTGAGAAGTCAACTGCCAGTTAATAGACTTTTTTGCCGTATGAATATACGTTGCCCAGGGTGCACCACGTGGAGCTAAGTCTATCGCACACCCCAACATTATGGCACATAACCTATCACTTTCCCTCTATTATGCTGTTGGAGCTTTCTTTCCCCTAAAGTTGAAGCCCTCTAGGAAAAGATTTCCGACTTCCGCTACACGCTTCAATCAGACAAAGTAACCACCCACAAATCACTCAGTAAATCATAAAAATGACGTTTCAAATTAAATATATGCAGTCATAATAAGGCAGAGTAATAATAGTAATAATAATAATCATATTTATTAATATGCAAATAAATTCGCACATATGTCATATGCATAGCCAAAAACAGTGTTCCCACATAAAACCCCACTGGCAAAAATGGTCAATTTCATTAGTCACAGGAAAATTGTTTCGGGGGCTCAGGTATTGGGGGGGGGGGGGGGGGGGGGGCAGGTTTGCGCGCCTTTAAAACGCACGAAGAGATGAAAGACATCGGCCAATTGCAGTAGTGATACATACATTATGTTAAGAAGGAGCATAGTCTGCGTTTGAAATAAAGACTTCTCTACATAGCGAGGTTGACGGGAGTGAAACGAGCTGGGGAACCCATATAAGGGTAGCCAGCACGACGTCTGAAGCGTCCATCGCAAGCCGATCCATCTATTTCATCGGGAGATGCATTCTCAAAAGTGTATCGATTGAAGTAGTCTAAGAGTTCAACGAAAGTTGGCCTACTGCTGGGAATTGCATCCCAACATTGGAGCATTTGCTCGTATATTTGAATAGGGCATGTGGGAGGTCGGGGCATTCGATAGCCGTTGTTCACCTGATCCAAGGTTTCCATGGTTGTCATGGAGGGGAAGGGTTCTTGGCCATGTGTAACAATCTCATACATCACCACACCGAAAGACCAGACGTCCGATTTGATGGTGAATTGACAGTGGTAAGCCGCCTCGGGTGCCGTCCATTTAATGGGGAATTTGGAACCCTGAAGGCAAAAAAAGAGAACTAGTTGTCTATTTTAACAATTGTGAAAACCATTCCCATAAATAGACTTTTTTAAAGCGCATTGAAGCGTAGCAAAATTGATGGGTAATGAAAAGCGGAAAACAAAGAGAACCAACTAGTAGAAAAAATGAGCAAAAAGTGGCCTTGGAACGTCAGGATTCAAGATATTGTCCTCTAAGGAATGACGCGTGCTTCCAAGGGCAAGAAAAGGAAACTTAAAAGTCGGATTTTACTTCGAAAAGCTTCGTTCCTTATAAAAGGGAAAATTGATGAAAAAAGACTAGCATAAATGATAAAAAATTCATTAATCCTAATTTACTGAATTGAGGCCTCGCTCTTTATTCCAGGCGACGATTACTGGACATAGCATTTTGGAACATGAACTACACCTGAAGTAAACTTTGTTCAAACCGATTCCAAGCATCACTCTACAAACCTAACATCCACTTTAATAGGCGGGGGGGGGGGGGGGGGGGGGGGGGGGGGTTGTGGATAGCCGCCATTTCCCGTCAAAAATGCTTGAAAAATTAGATTAAAAGCAATGCGAAACCTATTGAAAGCCATTAATCATATCCCGACTAAATCATGTTGCCAAAAAAATGGACTGGCTGAATTCAGCGCAGCCAGCCTTCGGTCGTGGTAGGGGTGGGGTGAGGGGGGGAGGCGAGATAATGATATCGACAAAGCAACGGGTCAGTTTGATTAAACTGGAAAGAACATTAAAAAAAGTGGTGCTTTCCAGTGAACAATGGGAATAAGCATAGGTGGAGAGAGAGGATTGCTTAGTCATAATCTCTGCCTTTAATAGGCCCAAATCGTCATGCCGGTCCGTTGGAGACCGATGAAGTGAACTCTTGAAGGAAAGCTATACAGAATGCGCACAATAAAACGACGAAATTAACGAACTGTTCCCCTTATTAATAGCAAAACAAAGCCACACAACCATTTCATAAGAACTTTAATAATTGCACCATTGATTATGTCGGTGAAACAAGAGTCAACTTGTAGGTCCGTAATGCCAGAGGTCGGATAGCTAACCGCACTAATTAATTCTGGCCAAAATAGAGGTGGTAGAATTGGTAGAAACCGAGTCATTCACTAGAAGAGAGAGGCTTAGTAACCACCTTGTTTTCACCTCTATTTGATGAAAAACGAACAATAAGAAATGCAATTTATGCACTTCCAAATCAGCGTGGAATAGAATTCTTTGTTTTCCTGACATCGACCTCACCCTCCCCCCCCCTCCAACCCACCCTATTTATCATTTGTTGGACCCGACATGCTAGTTGCTCTTCGCCATGAAAAGTGTACAACTCTCTTTGGAATGTCTGTGGCTTATAGTAATGTTACTGATCGTAGTTTAGAGGTTTTTAAACTCAATGAATAATTACATAAGAATTGTCCACGTTTTGGAAAGCAAACAATTACTTAATTTAAAAACACGAGGTCTTCATAATATGGACATCGGAATGCAACCAGAAGAAAAATTGCTTTTGAAAATTTCAAGCGATGAAGTTTTAATGCAAACCTTAGGTTACCTAATTTGATGATTTCAAGATTTAGATATTACCTCAACGCTAAAGATCACGTATAATTGCTTCCATTTTCAAACAATCGAGTTCGCATAACAGCGTTGTCAAGACTGGTAAGGGAAGCTAAGATGACAGATCTTATCAAAATATGGTTGACCAGGGCGCCGAAAAACAACCCCCCCCCCACCCCACCGCCTCCCCGGACAAACGATTAATGGTCCGGGTGATGGAAGCTTCCCATTCAAAGTACCCCACCCCCCCCCTC